GGAGGGTCTTGTGTCTTGGTGTCCATCGTGGTCTTGTGAGGATGTCCCAGTATTGTAGAGGAAGAGGATGGTGGTGGGTGGGGGAAAGGGAGCTTCTTCACTGTTGATGTTCACCATGGTTTTGTGGGCATGTCCCAGAAAGAAGAGGATGGTGATAGACTGGGGAAAAGGAGGTTCTCGGGTCTTGGTGTCCACCATGGTCTTGTTGGGATGTCCCAATATTGTAGAGGAAGAGGATGGTGATGGGTAGGGGAAAAGGGAGGTTCTTGGGTTATGGTGTCCATCATGGTCTTGGTGGGATGTGCCAACATCTCAGAGGAAGAGGATGGTGGTGGGTGGGGGAAAGGGAGGTTCTTCGCAGTTGATGTTCACCATGGTTTTGTGGGGATGTCCCAAAAAGAAGAGGATGGTTATAGACTGGGGAAAAGGAGTTCTTGGGTCTTGGTGTCCATCGTAGTCTTGTGGGGCTGTGCCAAGAGGAAGAGGATGGTGCTGGGTGTGGTTTTTTCATTCTTGATGTCCACCATGATCTTGTTGGGATGCCCCAACATTTCAGAGGAAGAGGATGGTGGTGGGTGGGGTTGGTTCCTTCTGGAAGATGATGGGGTGGGATTGGGAGGTGATTGACCATCCCCTGGAAGTTCTCCCAGTCTCACCACCCATTCCTTCCTGGGATATCCCAGAGGAAGAGGACAGTGTTGGGTGGGGCTGGGGGCTGAAGGACCATCCCTGGAAGTTCTCCTGGTCCCACCACCGTGTTCTTCCTGGGACATCTCAGAGGAAGGTGATGATACCAGGTGGGACTGGAGGGTGAAGGGTGGTCCAGGGAGGTTCTCCTGGTCTCACCACTGTTCCTTCCTGGGACATCCCAAAAGAAGCCAACGCTGGGTGGGATTGGGAAGTGAAGGACCATCCCTGGATGATCTCCTGATCTCCCTCGTGTCCTTCCTCCGCAGCTTTGCACAACGCTCTGCCTCAGCAGCCCTCGAGGCCCAGCAACCGGGCGGCGGCGCTGCCCCCAAAGCCGCCGCGGCCGCCCGTCGCACCTGGCGCAGCCGCCGGCGCCGCCGCAGCAGCAGCAGCAGGCGCAGCAGCCGCAAGCGGCGCAGCCGCAGCCGGCGCCGGCGAAAGCGCAGCAGGTCATCCAGCACCACCCGTCACCGCGGCACCACAAAGCCGACCCCTACGGCACCGGTGAGCGGCGGCGCCGGGGCCGGGACGGACAGACGGACACATGGAGGGATGGACGGTGGAGGGATGGATGGATAATGGATGGATGGATGGATGATGGATGGATGGATGATGGATGATGGATGGATGGATGATGGATGGATGGATGGATGGATGATGGATGGATGGATGGATGGAGGGTTGTGGGTGGATGGATGATGGATGGATGGATGGATGGACGGATGGATGGATAAGAACATCTTGGTGTCCCTCAAGAACATCTTGAGGTTTGAGGAAACCCCGACATTCCTCAGGGACATTTTGGGGTTCTTTTAGGCCATCCTGGTGTCCTTCGAGAACATCCTGATGTCCCTCAACTACATCTTGAGGTTCTTTGAGGAAACCATGATGTTCCTCAAGGACATTCTGGGGTTTTTTGAGGAACCCCTGACATCTCTCAAGAGCAGTTTTGGGTTCTTTGAGAAACCCCTACGTTCCTCAAGGACATTTTGGGTTTGTTTGAGGAAACCCTGAGATTCTTCAAGGACGATGTGCGTTCTTTGAGGAAACCCTGGTGTTCCTCAAGAACATTTTTGGGTTCTTTGAGGATACCCCGATGTTCCTCAAGAACATTTTTGGGTTCTTTGAGGAAACCCCGATGTTCCTCAAGGACATTTTTGGGTTCTTTGAGGAAACCCCGATGTTGCTCAAGGATATTTTGGGTTCTTTGAGGAAACCCTGATGATCCTGAAGGACATTTTGGGTTCTTTGAGGAAACCCCAACGTTCCTCAAGGATATTTTGGGTTCTTTGAGGAAACCCTGATGATCCTGAAGGACATTTTGGGTTCTTTGAGGAAACCCCAACGTTCCTCAAGAACATTTTGGGTTCTTGGGGGCCGTGCTGGGGTTTTCGGGGTCGGTGGCGACGCTGACTGACCGGTGCCCCCCTGTTGCAGGTCACCTGCGGGAAGCCCCCTCCCCCCTCATGATGCCTTCCCCACAGATGGCGCCGTTCCAGGGCCTCGTGCCTCAGTCGCCCCCTCAGCAAAACATCCAGCCAAAAAAACAGGTGAAACTGCGCGGTTTGGGGTTTGGGGTTTGGGTCAGGTGGAACGTGGGGTTTGAGATGTGGGGTCAGGTGAAAAACAGGGATTTTGGGATTTGGGGTCAGGTGAAAAACCAGGGTCAGATGGAAAAACGGGATTTCAGGGTTTTGGGATCAGGGAGGCAGAGGAAGGTCGGGGTCTCCAGGTGGGTCCTGGGCTGGGATCTGTCCCACGAGATGAGAGCCAGGCTCAGATCAGGATTGGGATTGGGATTTTGGGATGGATCCTGATCTCAGATTTCTGCAGGAATTGCGAGCGGTGTCAGGGTCAGGATTGGGATTTCGGATTGGGATTTCGGGGCCGATCCTGATCCCGGATTTCTGCAGGAATTGCAGTCAGGATTGGGATCTGGATTGGGGTTTGGTATCTGATCCTGATCCCAGATTTTCGTGGCAGGAATTGCAGTCAGGATTGGGGTCAGGATCGGGATTTTAGGATTGCTCCTGATCCCAGATTTCCATGCAGGAATTGCAGTCAGGATTGGGGTCAGGATCGGGATTTTAGGATGGCTCCTGATCCCAGATTTCCATGCAGGAATTGCAGTCAGGATTGGGGTCAGGATCAGGATTTTGGATCCAATCCTGATCCTGAATTTCTGTGGCAGGAATTGCAAGCAGTGTCAGGGTCAGGCTCGGGATTGGGGTCAGGATCGGGATTTTGGGGCTGATCCTGATCCTGAGTTTCCGTGGCAGGAATTGCAATCAGGATTGGGGTCAGGACTGGGTTCGCGATTGGTATTTTAGGATGGCTCCTGATCCCAGATTTCTGTGGCAGGAATTGTGGGCGGTGTCGGGATCAGGATTAGGGTCAGGATCAGGATTTTGGATCTGATCCTGATCCCAGATTTCCATGCAGGCATTGCGAGCAGTGTCGGGATCGGGATTAGGATTGGGGTTGGGATTTTAGGATGGCTCCTGATCCCAGATTTCCATGCAGGAACTGCGAGCGGTGTCAGAGTCGGATTTTGGTCAGGATTGGGATCAGGATTGGGGTCAGGATCGAGATTTTGGATCCGATCCTGATCCTGGGTTTCCATGGCAGGAATTGCAGTCGGGATTGGGATCGGGATCGGGATTTTGGATCTGATCCTGATCCCGGATTTCCATGGCAGGAATTGCAATCAGGATTGGGGTCAGGGTTTTGGATCCGATCCTGATCCCGGATTTCCATGCAGGAATTGCAAGCAGTGTCAGGATCAGGATTGGGGTCAGGATCGAGATTTTGGATCCGATCCTGATCTTGGATTTCCGTGCAGGAACTGCAGTCGGGATTGAGATCGGGATTTTGGATCTGATCCTGACCCCGGGTTTCTGTGGCAGGAATTGCAGTCGGGATTGGGATCGGGATCGGGATTTTGGATCTGATCCTGATCCCGGATTTCCATGGCAGGAATTGCAATCAGGATTGGGGTCAGGGTTTTGGATCCGATCCTGATCTTGGATTTCCGTGCAGGAACTGCAGTCGGGATTGAGATCGGGATTTTGGATCTGATCCTGACCCCGGGTTTCTGTGGCAGGAATTGCAGTCAGGATTGAGATCGGGATCGGGATTTTGGATCCGATCCTGACCCCAAGTTTCCGTGGCAGGAATTGGGATCGGGATTGGGATTTTTTATCTAATCCTGATACCGGGTTTCCATGGCAGGAATTGGGATTGGGATCGGGAGTTTGGATCTGATCCTGATCCTGGATTTCCGTGGCAGGAATTGCAGTCGGAATTGGGATCGGGATCGGGATTTTGGATCCGATCCTGACCCCGGCTTTCCGTGGCAGGAATTGGGATCGGGATCGGGATTTTGGATCCGATCCTGACCCCGGCTTTCCGTGCAGGAGCTGCGAGCGGCCTCGGTGGTGCAGTCGCAGCCGCTGGGGGGGGCCAAGGAGGAGAAGCTGCACTCGCCCGTGATCCGCACCGAGACCTTCAGCCCCCCCCTGCGCCAGGAGCCCCCCAAGGGCCACCCCGAGGGCATCAAAGCTGCCCCGCACCTCCCCCAGCGTGAGTGCGGGCACGGGGCACCCCAAAAAGCAACGGTTCTGGGGTCTGCCTGCCCAGAATTCCCGCTGGGGTCTGAAATCCCCAGAATTCCCAATTTTTGGGATCTGAAATCCTCAGAATTCCCAGGTTTTGGGACCTGAAATCACCAGAATTCCCAGGTTTTGGGATCTGAAATCCCCAGAATTCGCAATTTTTGGGATCTGAAATCACTAGAATTCACAATATTGGATCCGATCCTGACCCCGGCTTTCCGTGCAGGAGCTGCGAGCGGCCTCGGTGGTGCAGTCGCAGCCGCTGGGGGGGGCCAAGGAGGAGAAGCTGCACTCGCCCGTGATCCGCACCGAGACCTTCAGCCCCCCCCTGCGCCAGGAGCCCCCCAAGGGCCACCCCGAGGGCATCAAAGCTGCCCCGCACCTCCCCCAGCGTGAGTGCGGGCACGGGGCACCCCAAAAAGCAACGGTTCTGGGGTCTGCCTGCCCAGAATTCCCGCTGGGGTCTGAAATCCCCAGAATTCCCAATTTTTGGGATCTGAAATCCTCAGAATTCCCAGGTTTTGGGACCTGAAATCCCCAGAATTCACAATATTTGGGATCTGAAATCCCCTGAGTTGCCAATTTTTGGGATCTGAAAGCCCCAGAATTTCCAATTTTTGGGATCTGAAATCTCCAGCATTCCCAGTTTCTGGGATCTGAAATCCCCAGAATTCCCAATTTTTGGGATCTGAAATCACCAGAATTCCCAATTTTTGGGACCTGAAATCACCAGAATTCCCAGGTTTTGGGATCTGAAATCCCCAGAATTCGCAATTTTTGGGATCTGAAATCACTAGAATTCACAATATTTGGGACCTGAAATCCCCAGAATTCCCAATTTAGGGATCTGAAATCCACAGAATTCCCAATTTAGGGATCTGAAAGCCCCAGAATTCCCAATTTTTTGGGACCTGAAATCCACAGAATTCCCAATTTTTGGGATCTGAAATCCTCAGAATTCCCAGTTTTTGGGATCTGAAATCCCCAGAATTCCCTTTTTTGGGATTCAAAGTCCCCATCATTCCCAATTTTTGGGATCTGAAATCTCCAGAATTCCCAATTTTGGAGATCTGAAGTCTCCAGAATTCCCTATTTTGGGACCATGAATCTCCATAATTCCCAATTTTTGGGTTCCAAATCCCCAGAATTCCCAATTTTTGGGCTCAGCCCCGCTGATGCCGGGTTTTGGGCTTGCAGGGCCGGAGCTGAAGCCCCTGGAGGGGGGAGGACCCCGGCCCAGCCCAATGTGGGATCTGAGACCCCCAGAATCCCCAGTTTTGGGGTCGGAATATCCCAATTTTTGGGTTCCAAAACTCCATAATTCCCATTTTTGAGTACCAGATCTCCAGAATTCCCCAATTTTTGGGGTCCAAGATCCCCATCATTCCCAATTTTTGGGTTCAAAACCGCCATAATTCCCATTTTTGGGTTCCAAGTGCCCGTAATTCCCAATTTTGGGGTCAGAATTCCCGATTTTGTGACATAAGAAATCCCCAGAATTCCCAATTTAGGGATCTGAAATCCACAGAATTCCCAATTTAGGGATCTGAAATCCACAGAATTCCCAATTTAGGGATCTGAAAGCCCCAGAATTCCCAATTTTTTGGGACCTGAAATCCACAGAATTCCCAATTTTTGGGATCTGAAATCCTCAGAATTCCCAGTTTTTGGGATCTGAAATCCCCAGAATTCCCTTTTTTGGGATTCAAAGTCCCCATCATTCCCAATTTTTGGGATCTGAAATCTCCAGAATTCCCAATTTTGGAGATCTGAAGTCTCCAGAATTCCCTATTTTGGGACCATGAATCTCCATAATTCCCAATTTTTGGGTTCCAAATCCCCAGAATTCCCAATTTTTGGGCTCAGCCCCGCTGATGCCGGGTTTTGGGCTTGCAGGGCCGGAGCTGAAGCCCCTGGAGGGGGGAGGACCCCGGCCCAGCCCAATGTGGGATCTGAGACCCCCAGAATCCCCAGTTTTGGGGTCGGAATATCCCAATTTTTGGGTTCCAAAACTCCATAATTCCCATTTTTGAGTACCAGATCTCCAGAATTCCCCAATTTTTGGGGTCCAAGATCCCCATCATTCCCAATTTTTGGGTTCCAAACCGCCATAATTCCCATTTTTGGGTTCCAAGTGCCCATAATTCCCAGTTTTGGGGTCAGAATTCCCGATTTTGGGGCCATAAACTTCCATAATTCTGGAATTTTTAGCCAGAATTCCCAATTTTTTGGGTCCAAGATGCCCATCATTCCCAATTTTTGGGTTCCAGACCTCCGTAATTCCCATTTTTGGGTTCCAAGTTCCCGTAATTCCCAATTTTGGGGTCAGAATTCCCCATTTTGGGACCATGAATCTCCCTAATTCCCAATTTTTGGGTTCCAAATCCCCAGAATTCCCAATTTTTGGGCTCAGCCCCGCTGATCCCGGGTTTTGGGCTTGCAGGGCCGGAGCTGAAGCCCCTGGAGGGGGGAGGACCCCGGCCCAGCCCAATGTGGGATCTGAGACCCCCAGAATCCCCAATTTTGGGGACAGAATTCCCAATTTTTGGGTTCCAGATCTCCAGAATTCCCAATTTTTGGGGTCCAAGATCCCCATCATTCCCAATTTTTGGGGTCCAAGATCCCCATCATTCCCAATTTTTGGGTTCAAAACCGCCATAATTCCCATTTTTGGGTTCCAAGTGCCCGTAATTCCCAATTTTGGGGTCAGAATTCCCGATTTTGTGACCATAAACTTCCATAATTCCCAATTTTTTAGCCAGAATTCCCAAATTCTGGTCTCTGCCCCGCTGATGCCGGGTTTTGGGCTTGCAGGGCCGGAGCTGAAGCCCCTGGAGGGGGGAGGACCCCGGCCCGTGATCCGACCCCCGGAGCCGACCCCGCCCGCCCCGGACAAGGAGCGGCAGAAAGCGGAGCCCAAAACCCCCGTGGCCCCCAAAAAGGTAAAAGAAAATTCCAAATTTTGGGAAAAAATCCCCAAATTCCAGAGGGATCTTCCACGAGGGTCACCTTGGGCGCCTGGGGGTCGGGGTGGGGTTGGGATTTTGGGCGTTCCTGACCCAAAAATGGGAGTTGGGATCCAGGAAGGTCTGGAGAAGGTCCAGGGTTGGGTTTTGGAGAAGCTCCTGAGGTGCCACCAGGCTCAGGGGGGGTTTGGGGGTCCCAGGAGAAGTTCCAGAACTTTCCAGAGGTTCTTCCATGAGGTCCCACCAGGCTCAGGGAGGCTTTGGGGGTCCCAGGGAACCTGGAGAAGTTCCAGAACTGGTCTGGGAACTTCCAGAGGTTCTTCCGTGAGATCCCACCAGGATCAGGGATGGGTGTGATCCAGAGGGACCTGGAGAACTCCAGGGTTGGGTCTGGGAGAAGCCCCTGAGACCCCTCCAGGCTGAGGGACCTGGAGAATTCCAGGATTTGGTCTCACAGAAGCCCCTGAGATCCCACCAGGCTGAGGGACCTGGAGAACCCCCTGAGACCCCTCCAGGCTGAAGGATCTCCAGGGTTGGATCTGGGAGAAGCTCCTGAGATCCCACCAGGCTGAGGGACCTGCAGAACTCCAGGGTTGGGAGTTCCCACCCTGAGATCCCACCAGGCTGAGGGACCTGGAGAACCCCCTGAGACCCCTCCAGGCTGAAGGATCTCCAGGGTTGGATCTGGGAGAAGCTCCTGAGATCCCACCAGGCTGAGGGACCTGCAGAACTCCAGGGTTGGGAGTTCCCACCCTGAGATCCCACCAGGCTGGGGGAACTCCAGGGTTGGATCTGGGAGAGCCCCCTGAGATCCCTCCAGGCTGAGGGACCTGCAGAACTCCAGGGTTGGGAGTTCCCACCCTGAGATCCCACTGGGCTGAAGGAACTCCAGGGTTGGATCTGGGAGAACCCCATGAGATCCCACCAGGCTGAGGGATCTCCAGGGTTGGATCTGGGAGAAACCCCTGAGATCCCACCAGGCTGAGGGATCTCCAGGGTTGGCTCCAGTTCCTCAGGACAAAGCCATTGGAGGATCCCACGGGGGCCACCACGGCTCTGGTGCGTCCCAGACCCGGTGGTGACCCCGCGGTGGCCGCTGTCTCCGGCAGGACCTGAAGATCAAGAACATGGGCTCGTGGGCGTCGCTGGTGCAGAAGCACCCGGCGGCGCCGGCGGCGGCGGCCAAGTCCTCGAGCGACTCCTTCGAGCAGTTCAAGCGGGCGGCGCGCGAGAAGGAGGAGCGCGAGAAGGCGCTCAAGGCCCAGGCCGAGCAGGTGGAGCGCGAGAAGGAGCGGCTCAGGAGGGAGCAGGAGAGGATGAGGTGAGGCCACGGCCGCGGCCACCGGCAGGAGCTGCAGGAGCTCCACACACACCGCCAGGAGCAGCTCCAGGAACGCCACAAACACCACCAGGGACACCAGGAACACCACCAGGGACACCAGGAACACCACCAGGGACACCACAAACACCACCAGAGACACCACAAACACCACCAGGGACACCACAAACACCACCAGGGACACCACAAACACCACCAGGGACACCACAAACACCACCAGGGACACCACAAACACCAGCAGAGACACCATAAACACCACCAGGAGCAGCACCAGGAACACCACCAGATCCTCCACAAACACCACCAGAGACGCCACAAACACCACCAGGAACAGCACTAGGAGCACCAGAAACACCACCAGAGACACTACAAACACCACCAGGAACTCCACAAACACCACCAGAGACACCAGAAACACCGCCAGAGACACCACAAACACCACCAGGAACACCACAAACACCACCAGAGACACCAGAAACACCGCCAGAGACACCACAAACACCACCAGGAACACCACAAACACCACCTGAGACACCAGAAACATCACCAGAAACACCACCAGGAACACCACAAACACCACCAGGAATACCACAAACACCAGCAGGGACAGCACCAGGAACAGCACCAGAAACACCACCACAAACACCACCAGGAACACCACAAACACCAGCAGAGACACCATAAACACCACCAGGAGCAGCACCAGGAACACCACCAGATCCTCCACAAACACCACCAGGGACACCACAAACACCAGCAGGGACACCACAAACACCACCAGAGACACCAGAAACACCGCCAGAGACACCACAAACACCACCAGGAACACCACAAACACCACCTGAGACACCAGAAACATCACCAGAAACACCACCAGGAACACCACAAACACCACCAGGAATACCACAAACACCAGCAGGGACAGCACCAGGAACAGCACCAGAAACACCACCACAAACACCACCAGGAACACCACAAACACCATCAGGAACACCACAAACACCACCAGGGACACCAGAAACACCACTAGGAACACATCAGGAACACCACAAACACCAGCAGAGACACCAGGAACATCACTAGGAGCTCTTCAAACACCAGCAGAGACACCAGAAACACCACCAGGAACACCACTAGGAACTCCACAAACACCACCAGATCCTCCACAAACACCATCAGAGACACCAGGAACACCAGCAGAGACACCACAAACACCACCAGGAACACCACCAGGAACTCCACAAACACCACCAGAGACACCGGAAACACCACCAGGAACACCACCAGATCCTCCACAAACACCACCAGGAACTCCACACACAACATCTGGAACACCACAGACACCACCAGGAACACAAGAACCACCATCAACAACACCAGAAGCAACACCAGGAACACCAGGAACACCACAAACACCACGAGGACAACCACAAACACTCCGGCCAGTCCCTGACGCCATTCCCACATTTCCTGACTTGTGTCCAGTTCACGGTCACTCCTGGTCACTCAGTGCTCACTATAATCCCTCAGTGATCACTGATGGTCACTGTGGTTACTCAGCCATGGTCAGTGGTCACTGTGGTCACTCCTGGTCACACTGTGGTCGCTCCCCAGGTCCCGGGAGGACGAGGAGGCGCTGGAGCAGGCGCGGCGGGTGCACGAGGAGGTTCTAGAGCAGTGCAGGGTCCTGGTCACTTCAGTGGTCACTGTGGTCACTCAGTGGTCACTCAGTGGTCACTGTGGTCGCTCCCCAGGTCCCGGGAGGACGAGGAGGTTCTAGAGCAGTGCAGGGTCCTGGTCACTTCAGTGGTCACTGTGGTCACTCAGTGGTCACTCAGTGGTCACTGTGGTCGCTCCCCAGGTCCCGGGAGGACGAGGAGGTTCTAGATTTTTTTTCCCTAATTTTTTCCTGATTTTTTCCCGATTTTTCCCAAATATTTTCTGATCTTTCTTCAAAATTTTCCTGATTTTTTTTCATTTTTCCCTAATTTTTTCCTACTTTTTTCATTTTTCCTACTTTTTCATTTTTTCCTACTTTTCTAAACTTTTCTCTGATTTTTTCCCATTTTTCCTGATTTATTTCCAATTTTTTCCAGATTTTTTCCTGTTTTTTTCAATTTTTAAATTATTTTTTCTATTTTTTCCTGATTTCATGTCTAATTTTCCCCATTTTTGCCTGATTTTTAAAAATTTTTCCTTTTTTTAAATTTTTTCTGAGTGGTTTTTCTAAATTCCCCTAATTTCTTTTACTTTTCCTAAATTCTTCCATATTTTTTTCCTTTTTTTCTCTGATTTTTTTTCAATTTTTCCCTGATTTTTTAATTTTCTTTCCTTTTTTTCCCTTTTTTCCCTTTTTTTTCCTTTTTCCCTCTTCCATCCCCTTCCCTTTTTTAATCTTTTATTCCCCCCTTTAATTTCATTTTTATTTTCCTTTTAAATTCCATTTTCAGTCTTTTCCCTTTTTTAATTTGAATTTCTCTTTCAAAATCCCCTTTTTCCCCCTTTTTTCCTCATTTTTCCTCCCTTTTTTTCCTCATTTTTTCCCCCATTTTTTATAAATTCTTAATTTTTTAATTTTCCCTTTCCCCTCCCTCCCCTCCCCCTTTTCCCCCAAAATCGCCGCCACGCCCGGAATTTTTTTTTAAACAAAAAATTCCCATTTTCCCCCCATTTTTCCCCCTTTTAATTCACTTTTTTTTTAATATTCCATCGCTCCCTTTTTGCCCAAAATCCCGGGAATTCTCCCCGTTTCCCCCTCCCCTCCCCCCCCGGGGTTGGATTAATTATTAATAATTAATTAATTTTATTTGGGTTGGGTTTTTTCCCCCCGGAATTCCCGCGCCGGGGTTTCGCCGATCGTGGAATAAAAAACGCTGCGAGTTTGGTTTTGTATAAAAAACACCAAAAAAAAAAAAAAAAAACAAAAAAAAAACAAAACAAAAAATGGAATTTTCGGGTTTTTCCACCCCCGGTTTGATCCCCAAAAATTTAAAGGGAGGGGGAGGGGGAAAAATGGGGGGAAAGGAGGAAAAATGGGAATTAAAATTCAAAATATTTTCGGTAAAATGGGAATTTAAGGTGGGGAAATTGACAGAAATTGGTAATTTAAGGTCAAATTTTGGAGATTTGAGTGGAAATTGAGGATTTAAAATCCAAATTTTGGAGATTTGAGTGGAAATTGAGGATTTAAAATCCAAATTTTGGAGATTTGAGTGGAAATTGAGGATTTAAAATCCAAATTTTGGAGATTTGAGTGGAAATTGACAGAATTAGGGGATTTAAAATGCAAATTTTTTTCAATATTTAGGTGGAAATTGACAGAAATTAGAATTTTTTAATCCAGTTTTTTAAGATTAAAGTTGAAATTGAGAGAAAACGGGAATTTTAAATCTAAATTTTGAAGGTTTAAGCGGAAATTGGAATTATTCAATTCAATTTTTGAAAATTTAAGTTAAAATTGACAGAAATTGGGAATTTAAAATCCAGATTTTGAAGATTTAACTGTAAATCGACACAAATTAGAATTTTTAAACTCAAATTTTGGAGATTTAAGTGGAAATTGGCAGAAATTTTTTTAAAAGTTGACGTTTTGACGTTTTAAAATCGAAATTTAAATTAATTTTTTTTTTTTTTGTCAGTTTTAAAAAGCCGAAATTCGACCTGAAATGGTCAAAAAATGAAATTTTAAAAGGTGAAGTTTGGGAATTTTGAGGTCAAAATTGACAGAAATTGAGATTTTGATTTAAATTGAATTTTTTTCAGTTGGATTTTTAGATTTTTTTTAAGGTTTAAATTTGTAGAAAGGGGGAAAGGAAAGGGGAAAGAATGGGGGAAAATTGGGGGGAAGTAGAAAAATTAGGCAAAAAAAAAAGGGTTAAAATAGCCAAAAATTTAAAAAAAAAAAAAAAAGGAGGGAAAATGGAAAAGGGGAAAGAAAATGAGGGGGAAAGGTGAAAAAATAGGGAAAAAAAAGGTCAAAAATTAAAAATAAATAAAACTTTGGAGGACAAAAGGGCCCCAAAGGACGCGAAAGCGACAAAAAAGGGGAAAACTAAAAAGGAACAAAGGCGGAAAAGCCAAAAAACGCCGCAAAAAGTTGAAAAAATGGAGAAAAAACCCCAAAATTTAAAAAAATGTCCCGAAGCCACGCCCCCATGGGATTGCAGGCCACGCCCCTCGGGATTCCAGGCCACGCCTCTCGCTTTTCATTGGCTGTTTTCGGAAGGTTCCTCCTCTTTTCTCCCGCCGTCCAATCAGCGCCGGGGGGCGGGGCCGGCGCGGATCGAGGCGGAAGCGGCGCTGGGGGGGGGGAGGGGGCGGCGACAGCGCCGCGATCGCGACAGCGGCGACAGAAACGCAGAGACCCCCGGGGCCGCGACAGGTCGGTGATGGCAGCCCCGCCGTGTCGCGATAGAGGAGGCGGGGACGGCCCCGCGCGCGGAGGGGACGGCGGCATGTCGCGATAGAGGCGGGGCGGGGGCGGGGCTGGCGGGGAGGGGGGGACGCGCGGCGGCGGTGTCGCGACAGAGGAGGGGCTGGGAGAGCCCCGCGCGGGGACAAGGACGGCCCAATGTCGCGACAGCGCCGGAGGGGGAGGGGGACAGCGACGGGGACAGCCCGGGGTCGTGACATTTGATGGTGACAAGGACAAGGTGACAGGAGCGCCCCCTTGGGGACAGGGACAGCCCAGGGACACCCCCGTGTCGTGACAGCTCGTGACAAGGACACCGTGACAGGGACACCGCTGGGGACGGGGACAGGGACAGCCCAGTGTCGTGACAACCCCTGGTGACAGGAACACCCCCTTGGGGACAGGGACACCTCGGGGACAGGGACACGCCAGTGTCAGGGACAGCCCCATGTCGTGACACGTCGTGACAAGGACACCGTGACAGGGGCACTCTGGTGACAGGGACATATATGGGACACCCCGGTGTTGTGGCGTCTCGTGACAGGGACACCCCTGGGGTCACCCCCTGGTGTGGCACCTCCGGGCTGTGGCGGTGCCACCCTGGGGGCCTGGTGACAGGGACATATATGGGACACCCTGGGGTCACCCCCTGGTGTGGCACCTCCGGGCTGTGGCGGTGCCACCCTGCAGGTGGTGACACCCTGGGGACAGTGACACCCAGACAATGGTGACACCCTGGGGACAGTGACACCCTGGGGACAGTGACACCCGGACAATGGTGACACCCAGGGGACAGTGACACCCTGGGGACAATGACACCCGGACAATGGTGACACCCTGAGGATGGTGACACCCTGGGGATGGTGGCACTCAGGGGGTGGTGACACCAGGGATGGTGGCACCCTGGGGGCAGTGACACCCGGACAATGGTGACACCCTGGGGGCAGTGACACCCTGGGGACAGTGACACCCAGAAGGTGACACGCAGGGGACGGTGACACTCGGGACAGTGCCACCCAGACAAAAGTGACACTCGGGGGGTGGTGGCACCCTGGGGACGGTGGCACCCAGACAAAGGTGACATCCAAGGGATGGTGATGCTCAGGGGATGGTGGCACCGTGACAGTGCCACCCTGGGGACGGTGACACCCAGACCATGGTGACACCCGGGGGACGGTGACATCCAAGGAATGGGGACACCCAGACAGTGGTGAACCCTGGGAGTGGTGACAACCCTGACGTCGCCACCCAGATGTTGTCACCCTGGGGACGGGGACACCCAGACGATGGTGACACCCAGGGGACAGTGACAGGGGACAGTGACACTCAGGAGATGGTGACACCAGACAGTGGTGACACTTGGGATGGTGACATCCAGGGGATGATGACACCCAGGGGACAGTGACACCCAGGGGATGGTGACACCCAGACAATGGTGACACCCAGACAATGGTGACACCCAGGAGATGGTGACATCCAGGGGATGGTGACACCCAGGGGACGGTGACACCCGGACCATGGTGACACTCAGGAGATAGTGACACTCGGGACTGTGACACCCAGGGGACGGTGACATCCAAGAAACGGGAACACCCAGACAGTGGTGACATTCTGGGGGTGGTGACACCCCTGACAGTGCCACCCTGGGGGTGGTGACATCCTGGGAATGGTGACACCCAGGGGACGGTGACAGTCAGGGGACAGTGACACCCCGGGGACGGTGACAGTCAGGGGACGGTGGCACCCAGACAATGGTGACACTCAGGAGATGGTGACACTCGGGATGGGGACACTCAGGGGACAGTGACACCCAGGGGACGGTGACATCCAAGGAACGGGGACATTCTGGGGGTGGTGACACCTCTGACAGTGCCACCCTGGGGGTGGTGACATCCAAGGAATGGGGACACCCAGACAGTGGTGACATCCTGGGGGTGGTGACATCCTTGGGATGGTGACATCTGGGCGGTGCCACCCGGGAATTAGGACAGGTGGTGACACAACAGGTGTTGGCACATCCCGGGAACGGCACCGCGGAGGCCGTGGGGACAAGGTGGGGACAGTGGGGACACTCTGGGGGCTTTGGGGACAATGGGGAACAGTGGGGACACTGTGGGGCTGTGGGGACAATGGGGACAAGGTGGGGACACTGTGGGGACAATGGGGACACCGAGGGGACTTTGGGGACAAGGTGGGGACAATGGGGGACACTGCAGGGACTGTGAGGACAATGGGGACAAGGTGGGGACACTGAGGGGCCTTTGGGGACAGTGGGGACAATGTGGAGGCCGTGGAGACAAGGTGGGGACAGTGGGGGCAAGATGGGGACAACGGGGACAATGGGGACACTCTGGGGGCTGTGGGGACAATGGGGACACTGCAGGGGCCGTGGGGACACCCTGAGGACAGAGCCACCCTGGGTTTGGGACACCATGGGGACATGGGACATTGGTGACGAGGCCACCCTGTGGTAGGGGACACCTTGGGGATGGGACACCCAGGTGTCCCTGCAGTGTCCTCCCAGCTGTCCCCGCTGTCCCCATCTGTCCCTGTCCCCCCAGGTGTCCCCGCTGTCCCCATGTCCCTTTGTCCCCAGGTGTCCCACTGTCCCCATGTCCCTGTCCCCCCAGGTGTCCCCGCTGTCCCCATGCCGCGCCGCCTGCTGTCGCTGCTGCTGGCCCCCACGCGTTTGCTGCTGGCGCTGCGGGGGCTGCTGGCCCGCGGTGGCCTCGCGGTGGCCGCGGTGGCCTCGGGGGTGGCCTTCGGCCTCTGGGGGGTGGCGCTGCTGCTGCGCCGCGGGCCCCGCGCGACATTCGGGTGGCAGCGCAGGGACACGGCCCCGCCCGGGCTGAACGACGGCACCTTCGGGGAGCACCGGCACCTGCGGCTGCGGGTCAGGGCGCCGGGGGGATTTGGGGGGGATTTGGGGGATTTGGGGCATTTTAGGGGGATTTTG